GTGCAATGGGGACGGCCTGTTTGTGAACAGTCAACTTGTTGTCAGCCAGGGGGGGAACGGGGTTCAGAGCAACCAACACTTCTTAAGGGGCGCACGCCCTGTTTGTTCCGTCACCCCGGCCAACCCAGGCTCAGATGAGGAAAGCGATGAGGACTCCTCGCCCGATGCCGCACCTACCGCGGCGGCTGGCACGGACGATGAGGACGACAGTGATGAGGAAGATGATGGAGAAGCCGTGAAGGCAAAGCTCCTCAAGCAAGTCAAATACCCGGAGGTTGAGAAGGGAATTGGCATCATGGAGATGTGTCCCAAGGCATCTAAGGCTTTGCAGAAAAGGCTGGCAAAGCTGAACGATATACTAGTCAAGTACGAACAGCATGGCAATCTTTCGGACACCATGTCTTTGATACTCGGGCAAATTAGTTTGTTTGTCCCCAAGTGCTGTTTGTGAGCATGTTGCCTAGACAGCGATGACCGTGGTGGCACGATCTTTTGTAGATCAATCGTCCCAGGATGGTTGGCAAGCTGAAATCGATGAAGCAAGCAATCACTGATTGCGATACCAAAATCAACGATGCCTACAGCGAGGCCATCATCAGTGACATTTCCAAAGAGAATCTTGTTTTGCAGTTAGACGGTTCGGTAGCCCTGGACAGCGCTGTTCTCACAGGCGCCCTGATTTCCCCCGCTACAGGAAGCAGAAGTCCTTGAGGAAGCTTCTTGACGAAGGACGCCAAACGTGCCAGCCTCGGCGCAACTGCGCTTGTCTCACGGCATGAACGCCCTTTTGGTCTCGTTTTTCTTCGACGGTCACTTGGCCCGTCACGGCACCGAATGGCCCCAACTTGTACGATGTCCCTTGGCCTCCCCTTATGGCTGGCCAGTGGGCCTCTAAGGGCGATCGCCGCTTTGTGCCTTGAACCTCGGTGCAGGCCGGTCAGCCACCCTAAACAAAATTGTTTGGTGGAACTTTCCTCCATGCTGAGGTCGCTGCTTTCCTCAACTCCATCCACAGCTGAGAAGCCTAAGAAACGGAAGCCCGCCGCAAAAGCCGTGCCCAAGAAAGTGGCAGAGCCACAGTCTTCCCGGAAGAGGGCTAAGAAAGACTGAAACCAGTCTTGCAAGTTCGAAGTTATCTGGGGCAGGGCCATCCCAAGACAAGAAGGGCAGTCCAAAACCATGCGAGTGCATCTTTTTAGAGGTTGCCCTTTTTTGGGTTTGTTTAAAAATGAACATCCACTGAAAAACCACCCCCTGTAAAGGTTCCTGAAACAGTTGCAAGACCATTTAGGCAAAGGTTCGTTTTCTTCAGAAAGGTTGTTCTGCCCTAGGAGCTTTTGGGGACAGTTGCAAAGCAACTGGAGTGGCGTGGTGCTTGCCGCGCCGTAGGGGGGGGCTCAATAACTACCATTGATCGACTGCGCATGATTGCGCATGCAAATCGTTGTGACAAAGGGATGCTGGCTGTTGCAACCCCTGTGACCGATGCATGTTTTTGTCAACGCCTGCTTCAAACAATTCGGGGCATTGTGAAAGGTGACTGTGGTCTGAAACGGCTGACTCTAAAGTTAGTCACAGCATCCAGACACTTGTTTTCGGAGCTGTGTGCCAGGCCCATCCGTGTCTGCCACCATGATGACGCACTTGGCGGAGACCATGGGGGACGGTGACTCTCAGCTTGCATTGGACCCATCAAGAAACACATTGAGGGGCTTCACATCAAGAGGTTTGAAGCTTCAGGCCTGATTGTGCGCAAGCAAAAAAAAGAGTTTGTCCTGTGCACGCTGTTAGTTTTCTCAGGACCGTCGCTTTTTTTCCGAACCAAAGAAGTTTGCAACGCCAGGAGCCTTTGCTGTTTCCAGCTTGCTAACAAACAGGAAACAAAGGAACTTGAGCCGTAAAAAGGAAAGACCTTGTGACCTTGGATGCTTCGCTCACCTGAGCCAAGGCTTCCGCCGCTGAGCTTGAGCGGACTCTGCGCGCCGCGCAGGGCATGGGAGAGGAGGATGGTCCCCGAGAGCGAAAAAATGCTCAAAGGAACATGTACAGCAAGTTCCTCAAATCAAACCTCTCCCTGCCTATCGGGATCCGTGAGCTAGCTCATGAAGTTGGTGAGGAGGTGGTGCTGACTCCGCATGTCACAGTTTCGGATTGGCTGAAGTTTCTCATTCCCAAGCATCCTTGCTTATTGGCTGGCGGGAACTTTGGACTACAAACAGAGCTTCAGGCTTTCTGGGAAATGTATCGATGGCAGCACCCGTCGCATGAGGTTTACACCCATCGGTCCGAAGAACAACTTGCCAGGACAATCCCAATATCTATTTTTGGGGACGAAGGTCGGGGATTGAAACGGGGGAACTTTATGGTAGTCAGCTGGGAGTGCCCTCTTGGAGTCTATGAGCACCCTGAGGATCCTAAGTGTGCCTGCAAAGGCTTTGTGCAAGGCTTTCCAGCCCACGCAGTGCCTTTTGACCAGCAAAGTGGCGACCAGACCTTCCTCACCCGCGTTGCAGCCAGGGCAACAACCAATCTCAAGGGACATTCGTACCTATCAAGACACCTTCTTTTTGGCTCACCTTCATGGATTTACAAGCCTCACCACAAGATCATTGAGGAGACTCTGGATTTGCTGGCAAAGGACATTTGCAGCTTATTTCACGAAGGGATCACAATAGGGGACCAGCAATTTTTTGCAGCCTTGGTGGCAGTCAAGGGCGACCTAAAACAACAGAGGGAATTTTTCTGTGACTTCACTCGTTCGTATGCCAACCTTGGCAAGAAGAACGACCTACAAATCTGCCAATTTTGTGCAGCAGGGGGGCCAAACATGCGCTTTGATCAGCCGCAAGACGAGCCACCCTGGGCATCAACAATGTACAGCTCAAGACCATGGACAAGGGATCCAGTCTTCAGCCAGGTGCCTTACGATTCGACAAAGCCCGAAAGGTTGTATGCCCTAGATTTTTTTCATTGCTTTAAACTCGGCCTCGCGAGAGACTTAGCTGGAAGCCTTATCATTGTCTTTTGCCGGCTGGCCTTTTTTGACAATCCTGGCGACTCTGAGAACTTGCCAGATCGGCTTACACGTGCGCATGGCAACTTTGCTTTATGGTGCCTTGCTTCCAATTATAGCCCTGGGTTGCGGTCGTTCAGCCAGGCGTTTTTGAACAGCAAGACCAAATCCGCTGCACCATGGACGAACAGCAAGGGGTCAGACTCGGTTCTTCTTTTGAAATGGCTACTTTGGTATGTAGGGATTGCAATTCTTCAACAACCTCCAGCTGCCTTGGGGTGTGTTCGTTTCTTACAAGTGGCCCGCACTACGTTGAATGCGGCGGTTTCTTTGCTGGACATTGTGTATAGCCACGGCTTGTGGCTTCCCCGTCCATGCGCTACGGCAATCTATTTGAAATTGATGATCCTACTCCGGGGTTACGCCGCTCTTGCTGAAGAGGTGCTTGCTTTCCGAATCGTTGGCTTCAGTTTCAAGCCAAAATACCACTCCATGCACCACATAGCATTTGCGATCAAGCAGGCGTTGGAATCGGGAGCACCTCTGATTATGTCTCCCCTCGCGACTGCATGTGAGGGCTGCGAGGACTTGGTTGGAAAAACAGCGAGATTAAGCCGGAGAGTGTCAACAAGACAGTCTGGACGGCGAGTTCTGGAACGTGTGTTCCTAAAGACCCGTGCAGTACTTCGGAGGCACATCCGAGTCCGCCGCCAACAAGGGAAGCGTATGCGATAGCGTTGTGCAAGAAAGCTTCGAAGAGCTAAATGGCAGAAAAGGCGCTTCATTGTTTGTGGCTCCTTCACATGCCCCAACCCCAAAAGCTGGCCTTGACCGGTTGGTCTTGTGTCGAAGCGGCGGCCCAAATCGGCAGATCTTGTTTCTCATCGGCGTTTTTTTTTGGTTTCGGCTGTTTTCTTGGAAACCGGCTGAAAAACAGGCCGCCAATCAACTCGGCTGAAAGTTCAGCCGCCGGAGGCTCTAGGTATAGATCCCCCACACAAAGACACACCTACAGTGACTGCATTCCACTGGATTGATCAACTGACTGGAAAAGCCGGTTTCAGTCTAACAGGACCCTTTGGTGCACATCTAGGGCCTTGGGTGGTTTGAAGGGGCTCGCAAACACATATCCACTTTGTGGATTGTTTCTGAGGCTTGGCCCAACCCTGACAAAACGGATTGCTTCAGGATTCAGGATTGCCGATTGCCTTTGACAGCCCAGAATAGGATTCTTTGGCGTGGGTTCCCTTGTCGGGGCGGGAAAGGAAGAAGGAAAGACACCCATGTTGGGGGTCCTTTCGCAGCCAAAGTTGGTGCAAAGGCCTGTTGGAACCCGTGAGACTTTGTGGCGTGTTTCTTGAGGTTGTTGGGAGAACTCCATTCCATCAGCTTGGGGAGTCCGGGAAAATAACCCGCTGCTGAACTTCTTGCACATACAAGTGCGGGTTGTTGATGCTCAACACCCCTTATGAGGTTGGTTAATGGATAGCCAAAGGGAAACCACCCATTTTGAGTCCCGGCCCCACCTCTTGGCAGCATGGCAACAGCCGAGCTACACTTTCTTCGAGCCCCGATCGTGCGTTCTAAATCGTTCTATCTTGTGCGTTTAGCACAACTGAGTTCAATGACTAATCCTTCTAGGGCCTGTACCAATCCCAAATCTTATCAAAACCAGGGAATCCCGCAAGAGATTGGCTTCAGTTTGAGTCGGGTGCTTTTGGCAGCGGCTGAAAACGAGGCACGGCCAATCCCACTAGATACCCTCAAAAACGAGGGTTTGAAATCCCACCAATCCAAACCACGGGTAACGCCTCTCAGGTTCCGGTTCAGAAAGTTAGGGGTGAGACGTGCACCCCTTACATCATAGGTGTCCTGTTGGTAAATTGACGGTGTTGGCAAATGGAATGAAACTAATCTAAACCCGTGCTATCTATTTCTATCAAAACTAAGCCAAACTGCCCTGGGTTCTCCTTCCCTGCCAGGCAGCATCCTGGAAGGTCTTGCCGACGCCTTGTTTGGAACGGGACCCACCCGAGCAATCCGCTTGAACAGCATATTGGATACACTTGGGCCACCCGTGATTCCAGTTGCCTGTGTAGGCAACCAAGGGAACCACCCTCAAAAGCTAAGAGGAAAATAGTGGTCACCCACCACAATGGCAACTGGGATCCATGTCGCTGATTTCCGGGATCTCCCTTTCAAGGTGTTGGGATGTATCCTGAAAAAACTCTAAGGAACCTTGTTTCGAGATTGGGGCCAAAACCGATACATAACTTGCGGATCGGCTTCCACCCAAACCAATACACAAGTCTTGTATCTAAGAAATGAGCAGGAAGTTCTACAGGAAATCCTTCTTTTGTTTGGTGGGTGTGTTGCATGTGTCCTGCAGAAGTGTCCCCCTTTCCGCTGCCTGTTATGAAAGTCATATTGCCCGTTGCTCACGCATCCAGCGAACCAGCGACTTCGTCCAAAACTGCGCCTCGCTTCCTCTCCTTGGCCAAGGTCTGCAGCTCTTCCGTCAAGGCCTCCACAGCGGCGTTCCGCGAGGAGGGCGGAACCGTCAGAAAGACCTCCTGGTCCCACGGTTCGCATCGTCCAACTCTATGTCCCCTTGCGGGAAAGGAAGCATCACCAGAAAAGTGGGGGGTGTCTGGGAGATTGGACCGAACAAATGGTCGATGTACGTGTCTGTAAAATTGGGGAGCCCCAAAAATGGCAAAGGGTTCCACTTGGTTTCCCTAAAAGGAGGGTATACCCTCACAAAACACGCGCTCATATACGACCATCTGGCAATTAATACACGAACCGGCCAGGCAAACAGCCTTGTTCAAAGGGCTACGTCACGTAGCCTGTGCCAACTCAAGTTCGTGTATACCCAACCCACTGGTTGGAACCATACCAGCCCCCCATATCCCATGTTGGCTAAGCGGCCATGTAGGCTCTTTGCACCATGGAAACGGACGGAAGGCTTCTTGCAGAACCCTCCCGTGAGCTTCCATTGTTAGGAATATCGTGACGCTATCTTGGTTCAACGGGCCCAGGTCGCTTTCCAAGCAGATTCACCTCCCCTCCCAAATGAAACCCCTCTGGGTGAATCGTAAACAACTCAACATGGTAAGACTGATAAGCGAGGGGCTCGCTCCTGTGAAAGGAGCTTTCGTCTCAAAGTACAAAACCCAAACTTGGGGTACATCTGGGGTACACACACACACAAAAAAAACAGAAACACAAAAAAACATTGTTTCTCTGTCAAATGTCTGCCCTAAATTGTATTTTTGTTGCCCAACCTTGATGCGAATTCTGGGCTCAAGCGCACCATTTTCTTCAAGGAGCCGTGGCGTAGCCGATGACAGCATCCTTGGCACTCCTCAGCCGGCTGGTGACAGCACTTAGCCCTTTTCTGCGCTTCTCAGTTTCTCCATGTTAGGTCCTAGAGCCCCAGGGCAAGCTGCGTACACCCGGTGGCCCTGGCTCCGAAGATACGCAACCGGGCTCACCAAATGGGACCAATGCGCTTTCAACATGACAGCAATGTTGGAATACAGTGCTCATGACAAGTCCTCTTCAAAAGGCCCCTGTCCACTTCCAGTGGAATTGGAGTGCATGTCGCAAAGCGCAAAGGTATCTCCACCTGGAACACCGAGAACACCGAGAGAAAAAAAGAAACAAACTGAAGGCCAATCAGGTGGTTGTTCTAGTTCTGGGCAACCTGATCTGTTTTCCAAAATCGGGAATATCTAACTTCCTGAGTGGATTGGCCAACAAAAGGCCTAAAACACCGTTGTTGTTTTTCTACTAATATGGTCCAAACGCAAAAAGTGACTAAAGTCCAGGAACTCGGGGAGTCAGATACTCGGAATCCCCAGCAAGGAGCCTCCCACAGCTCGTAAGGTAAGCTCAAGTCCCGATCTGCGAGCGGCCTGTAGCGCTTCTCATACTCCGGGCAAATGATGGCAGGGCCCTCGACCGCCAGTTTGCCTGGTGTGAACTTCATCCCTTGTGCCCACTAAGGGGGAGGTGGGTGGGGCGTCCTCCAATCTCGTTGATCTAGCATTCCCCATAAAACAGGAACATGGAACAATCAATAGAGATCTCCAGAATTCGAAATCCCCCAGTTCTATTTTTAAGGGGGTGGGGATCATCTCCTTTGACTCTTGGCGTAAAGCAAAGGCATGCATTCCAACAGTGTCACGATTCAGTTTCCCGAGCCGCTCCAAACCTTAGGGTGTTTTCATCTTGAAATATGGCGGGGCCCGTGGCCGACGGGGCCCCCAATAAACACACACACACACATCCCCTGAGTTCAAACACACCCATGGAAATCCTGCACCTTTGAACTCCCGTCCCCAAGCGAACCCCTGGATACACAGTCGCATCGAACGTTTGGCGACCCTTCCAAAAGAATGCAAAGGGGACCCCATAATACGTTCCAACACTGCTGACTTGTGCGGCCGACGTACCCTAGAATTCTGCTGGAGAGTCATCATGCGCCTCTCCAGTGGTCTGTCCTTATAGCAAGCGCGGAAGCCTATGTACAAGTCATCATACGCTAGTCTGCAATCCCGGGGTTGGCCGCGAAGAGCCAATGCACCCAGCAACTGTCACGTCGTGCGTCTCAGATTGGACACCAAGCAGCCTGTTTGTCGACTGACAAGGACGGGGGAGGCAAGACATGTGGCCTCAAAAGCTTTAAAGGATCGGACTTGGAGGGGTCAGTTTTTCAACCTCGGCCTCAGAATTGCGCCAACCCCCCTTAGACACGCTAAAGCCAACAGCCTGCTGGGTTCCCTTTCACAAAGTATAGGGAGCCCTTTGTGCAAGACATTTCCCCCCTTCTCGGCATCCGTTGGCACCAAACCGGTCGAAGCTTCGCCGTGTTGGTCCCAACTCCCGACCCTTTCTCAAGCCTTTCTCGGACTTGAGCAGGGCCGCCTCCGTGAAGTCAATCCTGGGCTCCAACCAACCCAATTTAGGAGCCCGAATAGTTGGAATGCGGCTTTGGGGGTGGTTTCAGACGTAGTTTTAGATTTAGTCTTGATTGTAGGGGCAGACTATTCGTCTTGATTTTGCCCCCTACTTTATCTTCCCAAGCATTGGTAGCAAACAACTGTGATGTTTGCAGGCCCGCCGCCGATGAACAGAACCAAACCACCAGAAACTAACAGCTAAAGCATGCAATGAGCAGTGAAGCTACAGGGTGTTCAAGAGCTACCCTCCCACCGCAAGGGGTGATTGTACTATTACATACCCCTGTAAACAACCCCGGCTTGATGATGGCCCTACACCTCTCCCCCAACAGCAGAATATATAACCCACGCATACAAAGCGTGCTGACAGCATGATTTGAACAAGGGGTATGGACGTCGACCCTCAAACGCTACAGTAGCCTCCTGTGACCTGTGGGTGGGATAGTGGTTTACCCCAGCACCATACAATACCTCAACTGTTGCCCCCTACCAAAAGCATGTTTACATATACATATATATGTATATGTATGTGTATGTATGTATGTGTATGTTTATGTATGTATATGTATGTACCTGTATGTATGTATGTATGTATGTATGTATGTATGTATGTGAATGTATGTGAATGTATGTGAATGTATGTGTATATGTATATGTATGTATATGTATGTATATGTATGTATATGTATGTATATGTATGTATATGTGTGTTTATGTATGTATATGTATGTCTATGTATGTCTATATATGTATGTGTATGTAGGTATATGAAAGTATATGTATGTGTGTATGTATGTATGAATGTATGTGTAATTATGTATATGTAGGTATGTGTGTGTATGTATATGTATGTAGATGTAAGTACCTGTATGTATATGTATGTATATGTATGTATGTGTATGTATGTGTATGTATATGTCTGTGTATATATGTATGTATGAATGTATGTACATACGTACGTATGTATGTACATAGAATTTTGTGTGGATTTGTGTTTAATTGAATGTCCACATTTGGTGAACCTTACAATGATACTACTGTTCCCCGAAATAACTAAAAACATAGGATGAGCCAATACTAAACCGGTTCTATACCAGTAAACTTCCCTGCGACCCCAAAACCTGGGTACCAATACCAAATAAGCTTTTAACAGTTCGAAACCAAAAACAGCACAAACCCAAAACACTGCTTAGAATTCTGCTGATTGACTTCCTTACTCGGAACTTGTCATGTTGAACGATTCATTGTTCCACCCAGGCGTTCAATCCTAGGGCTTCGCCATCACCAGCTGCGCTGGCCGGTCGGACAGGTGAGATGGGGAGCACTAAGAAGAACTCTGTTTAGGCGGGACCTTGTTTCAGAGCCTGACCTCCGGACCACCCAAGCACACGCTCGCACACGCACAAGAGGCTGCAAGGTTGCTTGCCCAACCCCCTGACACTGAGCATGCACTCACCCACCCTAGCTTGAGCGCATGTGTGCCTGCTTGCGTCCGGCGCTTGTGTACGCGCGCGCGCCGCACTTGTCTCACACCGAAACCAATCAGACCAAAAAATGCATCCCCGGCAGCCCGTCCCAGCCCCACAGAAACCGGTGGAAAAATGTAGAAAAACACGGTATGTGCGACGTTTTCCGGCGGCCGCGCTTGCGCAAGAAAAACCGCCCACTCGATCGCAGACTTGCCCGCCATGTCCGCCTACCGCCAAAACCTACTCTCAGGGGGCCGTTTTTGAAGGGTTTGAGCGATGCAGGGGATGCAGGGGATGTAAGGGATGTAAGGGATGCTGGAACGCCCAGATGCTGGTGATGCAGGGAACGCCGGGGATGCTAGGCAACGTTTGCGATGATGTTCATGATGTTTTTCGCGAATGCTGGCGACTGTCCGGGGCGATTTGCATGGCATTCACTGTGTTTTTGAAGGTCGGGCAACGTGGCATCAGAAGCCCGTCGCAAGGCCAGGGAGGTCGGGGATGTTTTGGGGTCCAAGCGTTTGGGCCGGCCTGCGTGCAGGTGATGCAGGCAATGCTGAGGAGGAGCTTGGGGTGCAACAAAACACGTCAGCGGTACCCTAATTACGGGTAGGGTTGCCCTCGCTCTTCGAGCTCGAAGACACACAGCGCAGCTGGATCTTTGTAGGGGGCAGTAATTTGTTGGGGCAGGCTATTAATGTCAGCGGAAGTGTGAAGGCTCTGGAATATTCACTCTGAAGAGGTCGGTTAGGTTCCATGTTAGTGGAAGGTGCACACGTACATATATATATATATATATACACATGTATACACTGTATGCATATACATATATGCACGACTCGAGGGGGCTGTATGGGTTTTGAAGGTGTGGATGCTTATAATATAAACAACCAATATCAGCTTGCAACGCAGTATTATACGACTTAAATACGTCGCAGGACTGGCAAAGGCTAAGGTGCTCATTTTCGGACCTGCAGGGGTAAAAGGCCAAGCGCATTCGCACCTGCAAGAACGCACCCCCTTCGCTGGTCACGAGAGACCTCCACCTATCCTACCTCATGCCCAAGCTATCTGCACACGAAAAAACACGTTGGTCTTAGATAGCTTTCCACTACCCCCAAACCACTACCCCAGAGTAAACTGGAGTTCTTAGAGCCCGTGTTGTGGGGGTAGTGGAAACCGCATGCTCAAAGTCATAAAAGTGTGCAACTGGTGTTGGATCCCAGGAAAAGAACCCCCCCCCATTTTGGCGCTTCTCTCGGTACGCTTTTGGGAAGGCAACTAAAGAGTGTTGTAGGGATGTGGACAAGCTCGACCGAATCTTGGCATGAACTAACTTGGTGGTTGAAGCAAGGGATAGTTGAAAAACAGTTTCCACATTGGTTCATCAAATCAACCACTTGGGGGGTCCCAATCAGGGTCCCAATCCCTTTTAGTGACATACCCTTCTACCGTCTAACATGGAACGTGACCAGAGCCACTGAAAGACAGTTCTCCTCACCCCCAAAATAATTTTCATTGGGGGTGTCCCCTTGTGGGGGTTGAGGCTACTTAGCGGAGGGGGTGTTCCCCCTTACGAGGACGGGTTCTACTTAGATCCGATCAACAGTATCCCCCCTTTCACCTTGGCTTAGAGGGAACCAAAGCAAAAACCAAAGCCATTTCGGGGCTTCCATGTGGCTTTTGGAGTGCGTTTCATGTTATAGGGAGGCTGGCTACCCTCACTCGCCCAAAGGACCCAGAAATCAAGGGTTAAGCTTTTGGGACCTCAACAAAAAATGGACCAAGACGCGAATCCGTAAGCTCCAAAGGTCGGCTTCGGGCAAGCGAGCACGTTGGGGCTCCCATGTGACTTTTGTCCATGGCAACGTGGGGAGGGCACCCATTTGGCTGTGGCTCAAAAAAGTGGTACCAAAATGGCACCTTGCTAAATGGAACCAAAGACTAAAACCCACGTAACCCCAGCTATCCCAGCTCTTTAATTCTGAGCCATACCCATCCCAGCATCGACGGCATCGGGTGCCTTTCGAGGCGCCACGTCAGGTCTGGCGCGCCTTGGGGCTGCAGCACCTGCACATCCACCCCCGCCACGCCCGACTCCAGCACCCGAACCTCGGCAGGGAGAAGTCAGAAGTCGGAAACTTGGCCCAGACAACTGGGGCGCAGAAAATGAGCATTACACATTCATGCAACTTGTGGTTCATTCATTCAGTCGTTTATTCAATTCTTCAGCGTTTTCCGAATTGCTGTTGGGGCTTGTTCCCCCTTCAATCACCATTTCAAGGGTGCTTGTGAGTCGATGAGGCAAATTTAATGGCATCAGGACAAAGACAATTGGGTGAAGGGGACAAAACTGAGCCTACTGGCAGCAAGGACAAACAGTAGCACAAAGCTGATGCCACAGCGGTCATACTCCGAAGCATAACATGCATGTGTTCTGATTAAAGCACCGCCAAACATGTGTTTGGGTCAGTGAAAAATAGTTGTCCAAAACCAACCTTTTGCCTATTGTTTTCCCCTTATTCGTCCAGTGTTAGTCAAGGTCCCAAAAGGTTAACCTTTTATTTGCAGGTCCTTGTACCCAAGCAGTCTTTAGTTTGCTCCCTGTTCAGTCGGGCGGGCGCACGTAAATGATTAAATCATTTCCGGTTGGCGCGCGTCAACACTTGCCACCCCACAACAGCTCTGGAGCAAATGGGGAAGTCGTTTTTTGAGGGTACCCTTTTGGAGTGGTCTGAAGAGGAGCTATTTTTTGGGGTCCCTTATTCTAAGACAGGCACACACCCTTATGATACCAAAGTGGGATTCCCCATGACTACTTCAACATGGAAGGGGCTTCTACAAGACTGATTTTCCCACAACAGTGTCAGAGAAATCAAATGGTCAAGTTGCTTTAAGACAGTTGACCAAACCATCCCACCCTCAGTTCCTTGCCGGGTTACACAAGCGGGTGCCTGCTGCCATAGTGATTGAATGCTGTGTTTCGAGCCATGGCAAGAAAGCCACAAGGACCATCAAGGACCATAAATTGAGCACATTCAGGTCATGGACGGCTACATGGGGATTTCTCAGACCAGAAAAATGGCCGGCTCCCTTTAGGCTTCTCGCAACAGGGGTCCTGAAATCCGTTTTGAGAACCCCCCCTATGGTGTGTCTTGTTTTGGAGCTGGCACCTGAAATTTTTGGTTTGTGAAGGGAAATCAACCGGACAACTGCTTTTGTCGTATAAAATGTTGGGGGTGGAGGGTTACCCCAAAAAAGACACATCCATATATCTACATTCCTGGCGATGGCCATCGGTCTCAATGACTAACCATCAGCCATCAGGGAGCTGCGGTCCCCATCAGCTGCTCCATCCTGTACGCCTCAGGGGTCAAGCCTGCCCCGATTTACTTCCTGGGCATACTGTTCGGATTACAAGACAACAAATTGATGATCGGCAGGGGTCCCCTTTTAGCCACAGGGGGTTCATCACTTTTGAAGGGAACGCCCTGCAGGGGGCCGCAAAACATGCAAGTAGGTTGGGAGTCTTGTAAATGCTTGGGCTGATTTCAAACGCAAACGCAAGGCAATCACAAACGATGAGTGGGAGGAGGGGTGCTTGGTACTGCATGGCAGCATGTAGCTTCATGTAGTTTGATGTCCCTTCCCAGAAGTAGCAGACTCAACTTGTGCCTTTTTTGGCAAGGGTGCCAGGGCCGTGAGTAGAGCCCAAGCGTTTGAGGGCTGAGGCACAATTATATTGTTGATGTTCATTGGCCAGGCCATGCTACGTAATGACAAAGTCATTGCACAAAGCTTGCTTAACGTAAACCGCGGATTCATCCGGAGAACCACACTAACCATGTGCGTTTCCCCTTTGAGTAAGACTAAGCAAGTCAAATAGTTTAGTTGTTCAACTGATTCGGGGTTAATCTCAAGTTCACACCCTCCCTGGTTGCCTCAGGGTGGGCTAGTTGAGCCCTTGAAGCCATCAGCCAAAGTGGCCAACGGCGGCAAATTACGGGTTCATATGGGGAATATGGGGAAAAATCAGTATCCCTCCAATTGGTGGTTTGGAGCCCGTTCAAATCCTCAAACAACAAAGGAAGGGTTGCCTGAAATAGCTCTAAATTGTCCATAGCTCACAAACCTCAACCAGCTATGGAATCCCAACTCGACCCTGACCCAAGCTGGTTTAATCCGCAGATCGGCTTCCTTCAAATGCCTCGAAAATAACAAGTCACCACTGCTTGAGCCAACTTGGAACCCCCCAAAAATAGATATCCAAAAGTTTCAAAGTATGGATTGGAAAAGGTCAAATAATTACACTATTACCCTCTCACCAGCAAACATGGAAGTGCACCCTGTTTGGATAGTCCTCTTGTGGTTGCTGCAATTCTTGCTGGGCAGAGCCGTGCACACAGCTTTTGCGCCCAACAAAGCCGAAAGGGAAAAATGTCTACAGTCATTGGAACTTCAACTGACGCACTGTCAAAACTGGAAAACGAGTCTATCGAGTATGTAAATAATCAAGAGGGCGGCTGCACCTATGTTTGGTTAGGACAAGCCCAAACCCACAGTGGCCACCTGACAAAATGGGTGCTCTTTCTGTTGGCAGTTGAATTCAAACAGAAACCCACCAACAACAAGCAGAAGGCTTGCGACCCACTGGGTCTCTGGATTCAGCTTGGCCCTTGGTGTTCCCGCCCCAGTCCCCCAAACAAAAAGTCGAGAAAGGGCTCGCAACCCACTGGAGCTCTAACCTTTTGCTGTAGGGTTCCTTCATCTTTTTGCTGAATCTTGATCACCCCTTGTCTCAAAAAAAAAAAGGGCAACCCCTCCACTGGAGATCTGGGTACCCTTCTGGCTCGGCTCTCTTCGGCTTCGGCCCCTGTCGCTCCTCCTGCGCTTCAGTGGCCTGCGGCAAGCCGCAGCCCGTCTTCACCGAGATGTTCCGCGCAAAGGGCCTGAGGAATTCGTGCCTTTCTTTGCATAAGCCCATTGCTCATGCGTTGTCTTTTTTTAGATTGTTGTTCTTCGTACATACAAATACACATATATATATATATATGTATGTGTGTACATATAGACATTGTGTGCTACCTTTGGCAGGGCCCAAAACTCCGGCGCGTAACCCGGGTAACCCGCGAAAGTTTCAACGGAACCAGAAGGAAGTCAAAGCCGCCCCTCAGACCGGCTGGTGCAAAGACCGGAACGTGAAAGCTTAACCGTCGGGGAAATCACAAATTTCTACACATTGCCGGTGCCCCTCAACACCCTTTGGCCACCACCCAAAATGGGTTCCCCCATCTCAGGGGCCTTTGACCCTCAGCCAAATGCTTAAGCAATCTGCGTGGCAGAATGATGCTCGGACAGCGCATGTCGGTTCCGCAGTTTCCCAACGGCAGTGCTGCTCAGCAGAAACAGGAATTTCAGGAAAAGCAAGCAGGTTTGGTGGCGGCCAGAACGCGCCCAAACATCCATGATCGAGTGCTTTAGAATGCTTGAACAAACAAGTATATACATATATATATATATATGTATATATATATATATATATATTCTTCGCGTTAGGCTGCCTGTGCAAATTCTTAGATCGACGCAACAAACATGGCTTGGTGCGCAGCCCTTGTGCCAAGAAACCTTGCTGCAAAGAGGCCAACTCTGCAGTTCCATGTTGAAGGCCGTTCTATTCGTTCTGGCATTTGTGGGTGGCCAGTTGACAACAGCCACCCCTGCCAATGAAAACAAAAGGATTGCGAAGCAATCTTCTTTTGGAACTTGGCCGTCTTCTTTGCTGTCTCGGGGCAGCCCAATTGTATCTGGAATCTGGACACGGTTCTATCGGTAGAACACAAAAAGCAAAATAGATTCCCAATGAAAGAAACCTGCCTTTTGTGTAAACTCGTTCTTCCAAGTACAGCACATGTTTCTAATGCTGCAGCTGAATTGTAGGAGGGTAACACTTCGCAAGGTTCCCCACATGATGCCGCTTTAAATGTGGCACCACCGGAAGGAAGCTTTCTTGAGATTAACGCCAAAAGGTAATGCTGAACCATATGCGCCTCAACATCGACAGCTATGGGGTCTTAGGGATCCCGAAATGTCGGGTTGGGGCTACTCCCACAGGGCGTGTTCGATCACGTGATCACAGGAGACAACCCTGGAGCCATTTAGGAGGACTCTCATAGGAAAAAGAACCCGGTGAATTGACCTTTATACTCAGGGCTGGTTCCTGGAGGATCCGTCTGGCCAAGCTACAATGGTAAAAATGGAGCCCCTGGCAAAGGAACTGCATGCATGAGCTCCTTTTGCCCCTTGAGCTTGTTACAATTTGTGATCCCGCCCCAGAAAGGCTCTTTTTAAAGGATCCCTTGCAGTGCTGCTTGCTTGATTGGCTCTTGCCGAGCAGCGTGCATGGCGAGAGGACCAAGCCTCACAGGGAATATCATCCGCGGAAATCGCAACCAAGGTACTCCCTACGAACGTTAAGGGGGAATTTGCTGAGTCCCCCCATGTCTCTCTCTCTCTCTTTCATTGACCGAAGGGCTGCCAGGTGTCTTGGAGATGTAACACTTCAAGTAGTACATTTGAGCCGCCCAATAATGTAAACCATTGAGGCCGGCACTTACCATTGGGATCCCATCTTTCCTTCGGCTATGGCTTTATAGGGTGATGCAAGTGGCAAGGGTGGACTTCTTTCTCCCCCCGGGTTTTTGACGGTGGTGCTAGGGAAGCTTCCCCATTAGGTAAAAGGAATATCCATTTTTTCTTCAGGAAACCATCAAAAGCCCAGGGGAAACAGCCTAGTAATTAGCCGCTCCAACGCGACAAAGGGGAAACAGCTAGTTATCCCAAAGCACTATCGTTGGAACCGAATGGGGACTCAAGCCCTCGAGTGGTTTATAATTGCCACATCCCGGCGACGCCGCCGCAAAGGCGGCGGATCGATGCCGAAGGCGAGCCGCCGCAGCGTGGGCCGTCGCGGGTGCTCACTTGGCCGCTGCCGAGGCAACGGACCACGTTGGGGACCTGCCGATCGACTTACAGGTTCCCTCAGTTCCCTCAAAACCACAGCAAAAAGGGCACCCTCACAAAAAACAAGTCCAAAAACAAGCAAGCAATCAAGCAAGCAAAGATACCAAACAAGCAAGCCAGCAAATAAACAATCAAACAAGCAAGCCAGCACACAAACACGCTACCCACTACTCCCCCCTGGAACTTCACCCCACAAAAAGGAATATTCACTTTGAATCTTTGAATTGGCCCAAAAGGTGACGCTTAAATGCTTAAATCATCCAGAAAGGGGAATATAGGGACGCCGTGCCTTGTTATCCTGGAGCAGCTTCATGATCTGCTTCTCCCGTGCAAAGGTTCCTCAGCGTATGAAAAAGCCAAAAAGGATGGGACGTCTTCCGACACCATCCTGACCACTTCCATGATTGTTGGACGAAAAGTTATCGCTTGCTGATTGGGGACCTTTTGGTGGACATTCACATGGGGAGACCTGAGATTGAGGGGCCCTGGGCTTTTCTTGTTTCACCAATGTCTCAGTGTGTTTTCAGGGGTTTTCAACGTGCTCCTGATTGACGTTCACATCGAAATTTGCGGGTGATGTTGCATGGCCAACACAGGCAAACACGGCTCCAGGCAACAAAACACTGACAGGTACTTCCCCACACATTGTGAAATGCGTGGCCTGGGCCTGCTGCCCCAGTCGGCTCCAGGCGGCAAAAGCCGCAAACAGCGCACAATACCATCATATTAACATAGGCTCCGGCTATTATGTAAACCCTTGCAAGTTTCCATGGTCAAACAGGAAGGGAACTGATTCTCGGAGACAAAGGAAGAAGCAAGTAGAGGTTGAGGCTGGTGAACCATTGACAATGACCATGCAGGGTTTACCCTGGCCACTGTTTGCTGGCAAACTTGAACATATGTGTTCACCACGGATTACCTTGTCGGCCACAATCGGTAGCGGAGTGCATTCCGAGAGAAGAGCGCCCTGCAACGAGATATGGCGTCCTCACTGAATTTTCCGGGGGTAAGATACTAATTCTGGGTTGATATCTTCGCCGCAGGCTTCACGGGGGGCCTCTAAAAGGAGGGTGATCCAACCGCTGATCATGGTTGATGCTCAATTACTTGAACCATGGCTGCAGAAACATTGATCGTTTTGCCAGAGGCTGTAGCAACTTGTTCTCGGCTGTTGCCACGCCAAAACTGGCGTTTGACGCTGCGAGGTGGGAAGCAACAAGTGAACAGCTAAAGCTCAAAGAGCTAGAAGCCAAGAATCCAAGGAATGCTGTGCCCCGTAGCAAGGGTAGATGTGGGGTGGTACCCCATATCACAGGGCATCCCCACTTGTCCAAGATAATACAAACTATGTACCCGTTTAAGTGGGGCATCTCCATGACTCCATGACTACTTTATCACTGTAAGGGGTGGTTCTTGCAAACACTGGCCCTGAAACGACATTGTCCAACGGAAGGAAACAAGCTCAGAGTCACGCTCGTGGGTTGATGGCCCCGTCTGCCCTCGAAAACCGGAGCTGCTCGGAGAAAATCAAACAGGGCCAATGCAAGGCCACTTGCCACTTGCATGCACGAAACAGGAAAGCTGCAGCTCATTCGCCCAAAGGACCTGGAAATGAAGGTTAACCTTTTGGCACCTAATAAGGGGGAAAAAAAAGGTCAAATCCGATTGATTTGCTTTGGGAAATTGAGGCAAAGAATGTTCGGCAGCATGAAGGGAACAATGTTTCCCACGTCGCCACGTGTTCGAAGCAACCCCCCGGATTCCGAGGGGCCCTGGGCGTAGTCGTCGTTGGTGCGGCTCAGCTTCAGAGCAACCAGGCCAGTTCCCGGCACGCTGGCGGAGTAGACCTCCGCCTGCACCCCTGGCGCGCGGTCGTCTTTGGACGACGGATCCGCACGGATCCCTCCGGAGTGGGATTTCCTGAAGGTTTCTCCTGGAAGGCCATCATTTCAATAAGGCTCCTTATAAGGGAAGGCAATTTGGTTTCCCGCAGCAAAGTGGCCTCGTGGCAGGTTGACCGGAAACAGTCCCAGTTTCTGACTTTGACTCCAACAAAAAACATGACCCCAGTTCCACACCCGTCCGAAGTGTAAGGATGGCCAAAGGAAGCTTCGGTCACATGAAGCACAGTTGTGGGTAGAAACAGCTAGCTGTTCAGGAAAGCTTGGAATTTGTGAATCCCCTGAAAGAGCAAGTTACATTTAGAACACTGGCTTAACATTTAGTCGCAGTTCTGGCTGTGGAAGAAGCCGGTCACCCTTTCCAACATACCATTTGGTGGGATTCGAGCCCTTTATGGCTCCTCTCGTCGCTTTGAAAGGAAGGTCCCACAGGAAGTGAGCCAACGCCACGCTTTCCACAAGCGCAATGTCTCGAAAGTGCTGAGCCTGTTGATCTTGGGGGAAACCTAGTAAGTGTTGATTGGAGACGGACCTGTAAACAAATCAGACAAACACATGATGGCGAAACCGATCCCCCACTGTTCGCAAATGTTGTACAAGAACAATGCTCACCATTTGGCTGAAACCAAGGTAACCAAGCCCACAGCTGCAACGCCGCCTCCGCCTTTTCTGCTCGAAGCCGAAATCGATGGCTTGCCCTCAACGGCACTTTGCCTGTTCAACAGGGTCCCTCACGTCTCCCTGTGGAAACCAATACGGCAACAAGTAAAAAACTCAACCGCCCAACAAGTGTTTATTAGAGTGGCTCCAAAGGGAGCTGCGCGTTGAAACTCCTTGGTTCATTTCTCGCAACGCCAGGAGCACGCGCCCAAACGGGGCCCTTCAGTGCTCCACCGGGTGTCCAGCAGTGCTCCAGCCGTACATCCCGTCGTCGTAGTTCTGGGCCGCGAGGCCCAAATGCCCCGCCAGGATGAATCCCAAACTCGAGCGCCAGCCAGTGCCGCAGTAGAAAATCAGCTTCGCCTGGCCATCTGCCATGCCTCTTGTTGCTGTGGAGAACTGCTGTTGGTTGGTCTGCTTGAAATTCAACTGTAACTGGGAATCTGCCATGTGGCTGTGTCTTGCTTTTGGGAGGAAAGCTCAGGTTGGTGGGTTGCTTTGAAGGGCAACCAAAACAACCGCAACCAAACACTTGCAGTATGCCCCTCCTCGTACTGGACGGCATCGTATGAGCAAATGACAGTATTGCGAGTGCTTCAGCTGGGTGGTCTTAACCTTATGGAGGTATGAGTGCTAAAATTTAGTTCATTGTGAGACATGTGTAAAACATGTAAAATGGAAGGTCGCCCTTTCGTCACATGTGGACTGGGGAACACGAAATCCTTCTTGCCCTTCTGGTCATGTTCAGGCATCCCGAACATCAACTCCTGCAAACAGTATCCCAATGAAGACCAATCTCTAGAGATGTTTGCTCTGACCTGATCAATCAACCCGACACATGCTTCACCTTTTTGGGCCCTCGCCCTGACAAAGAACCTATCCTATCAACTCAAAGCTTTGACACTCAACTGGTACCGCAAGTACTTGGTACATCGGGTTGTCTCCGAGTCGGTATGCGGGGTGGACCAATTGGCTGACTCCTTTTTGGGTCACCCAATTTGTCCGACCCGTGGTTGTTTTCAGAAGCTACGTTGCATCAGCCCGAGAAAAGTAAAAACAAACCATGCTTTATCAATTGGGTGTTTGGAATGGTGGACAAGCCGTGGGGGGGCTCACGCAAAAAACAAGAGGCCGCCTAAGAGAGTTGCTCAAAAAAACATCGGGTGCCGAATGGGAGACAAGAACACCGGACCCCCTGCTTAAAAGTCTTGGGGAGGAACCGCAGGACTCCCAAACAGCTCAACAGTGGGATCCTGTGCGTATATGTATCACCCATAGACATTGTAAGCAGGTATTCGGAATTCCGCTTGAGTTTACATCATAGTAGACAACAGCAACACTTTCGTGGAAAATGGCCCTTTCTGCAATTCGCCATCCATTTGATTTCTTCATAACTTAAGCGGACACCTCTTGGTATCAAAAAATGGGCCAAACTCAAGGACATGTTTTCTGAAGATATGCAGGTTATGTACCACCTCTAAGGGGGAACAATGCCTTGGCTTGAATCGGTAGTTTTACGAGCCATGTCATTTGAGACCCATCCCCACCCATCCACGAACATAGAAATCAAACTGGGGGGGGGGGGTGGTCCTGGAAGGCCATGTGCACTCTGGTGGGTTCCATGGGCATCCTCAAAACTTACTCATTAAAGTTGTGTTTGCAAGGGAAACCACCCCCTACATGCCCCAAGTGTTTATATGCGTATATATATGAACAATACAATATAATATGAATATGCATATATGTATGTATTTCGAACAGCTCAACTTGGATCACGTGGCCTGAGTCTCTGGGTCGCCATCTGGCGAAAGCACGCCCAACGCTTTCCAACGCGCCACCACGCTCGGCAAGGCGCCCAGCAAGCTATGCGACTCCTAAGAAAACGTGACGGGTGCTTCCTCAGCTCACTTGCAGACTTGCCAAAGCCCCAGACGCAACCAAAATGATTCAACCGAACACTTCAATGAGCTCGGGAAGCAAGATTGCAAAGTCAAAAACACCCAAATGGATCCCAAACAATACTGACACCCACTTAATTGGACCCCTGCTTGATTAAGAGGGAGTGTCCAATTCTAGAGGAAATATTTCACTTCCGCGGGAAGACAGCCCCTATTCATCCGCAAGGTTGATTCTTCTTTCGGTTGACATTCCCGCTTTCAAAACAGCTCGTTGCACACTTCAAATATCTTTGGGCAGAAAATCACCCTGTTCATCCGCAAGGTTTATCATTATAACATGCGGGTTTCCCTGTTGTTTGGAGGGCCCCTTTTTGGAGGGGAATCCGCGCTTCAGTTGATTGTGCCGTAACAAAGGCAAGGTCTCACGAAACTGGGCAAGCATCGACGAGGTTTGTCCAGTTGCCCTGCCAAATGCTGCCGGGGATGTGGCCCGAGGAGTCGTAGAAGGGGTAGTAGGATCCTTGGGATGTCCTGCAGTTGCAATGACCATGCTTCTCTACATGTCCTCCGCAAACATCACCCCACCCATTGCAAACTCACTTTAAATTAGCCCATGAAGTGATGTTTCACTTTTCTGTGCCAACTGACAAAGAAATCTGCCAACCAAACAGGTCAGCCATTGCTCAAGGAGGCCAAACTTGAGGAAACACTTAAGAATTGCCTGTAGGGCCGAAACCAAACGATGGGCGAATTGAGCAAAGGGCCAAAAAGCAACTCTGTGTTCCAACGCATGAGGTGCTTGAACGGGCCCAACCCTGTTATCCTGTGCTCATCCTCCCGACGTATGTCCACCACGATGCTCCGGCCTGCCGCAGCCAGCACATCCTCTGCCAGGGCTGAGTGCAAAGTGTGTCAAGTGCCCTGGCCCCCTCAAAGGGTAGCCACAAAATCTTGTTCATAGAAACCAGCTACGGGAAGCTCTTCCGGAAAGTTCTCAAACATCCCCAAACCAACATTTCCTGTAGAATCTCCTACTGACGTCTTGGAATCTACCAACAGGCATGGCTCAAACGGTAGAAAGTTATGTTTCTGAATACAGGGGATCCCGCGCCTTGATGGCGAAAACGCTTTTGGCTTTCCTTTAACACTGCAAAACTCGGTACCCTCAACAAAAACAAAAAGGCTCGGGGCAAATCCAGTCCTCCGTGGATGCCAGGTAGGGGTTGTCTGGGTACCATCCCTGACCTGGCGATCAAACCGAGCATCCGCAGAATTCGAACATATTGGCACATGCGAAGAGGAAATGGGGATCCCGGACATGGAAAGGAATCTCGGCATCTAGAGAGACGCCAGGGGAATCAGACCAAGTCAAATAGGGCATCTGGCGAAAAATGAACATACACAGACATGGATTCACTCTCCAGGACCAATTGATGCCAAAGCGATCCGTGGCCGTTTCCATGGCGGCCTAGGCAAACTAGGTAAAGGGTTGCTGGGTGCTAGTTTTGCTAAAGTCAGTCATGATATGAGGAAGCTGCTGTCGTGTTTTTGCCAGAATCATGGTGATACTCGCCATATCATCGGGGCCATTTTCCGGAATGGGTGCGGAGGCATTGAGGCTAATATGTCGCCCTTAAGTAATATGTTACCTTCATACCTCCAAAACTGACTTGATCTCGGACCCAGTGCCAGGGGGAAGACAGGCCCTCTTTCTTTTGGTAGTTGAGTTTAAAGAGAAACCGCCTCTCGGCATCCCTCTAATTCGTGGTTTGGATTTGTGTTTTGGTGGTTAAGGTGTTGTTTGCCATCTGCCCTCTACCAGAACCATGCGTTCAACTCCCCAAACCAAATCCAACCACCAAACATATAAGAGTAAGCTGACCCACAACAAAATGAATATACAAAAAACACGGGCACTGCAACACGGAGCTTCGAAAGCACCGAGCCGCTCAGCTTCGGTTGCCCTCCTGCGCGGATCTCTTCATACCTGGGTCGTCAGCCGATTCTTCTCACTTGCTCAGTACATTAACCCACACAAAACGATGAAGCTCTTTTTGTCTTCAGAAAAACCATTTTTTTGGGAGGAGAGGGGACTTGGGAGTTGGAATTTTGGAAGGGATTTGGGGGGCTAAGCTACATAAACAAATGTTGGCTACCGGCCAGGTGTCGAAGAACAGTATCACCTTTTGGACCTACGGACGATGGGGAATTGAAATGTCAGACTTGCTCGGTTCCCTTGGTTGCCAGTGAAAAAACTGGCAAACAGAGGCGCAATTCCCGCCGCCCAATACAAACACAGTTGTTTGTCCTCAGGTAAAGACAGTCCCAACCCTGAGCATGGCAAGCAAACGCTTCTCTTGGCAGCCCCCGTGCCAGAAACAAACAGAAACAACGAACCAAAC